ACCCTCCATCCTTCCTTCATCCCTCCCCTCTGGACACCCCAAACCCTCCATCCCTTGCCCTGGACACCCCAAACCCTCCATCCCTTGCGCTGGACACCCCAAACCCTCCATCCCTTGCCCTGGACACCCCAAACCCTCCATCCTCCCTCCATCCCCCCCCAGCACTCAGGGCACAGAGAGGGGGGTGTTGGGGGGGTGTTGGTGCATTCCCAGCGCTCCCCCCTCGCTCCACAAAATCCCACCTGGAGGGAAAAGCCCCCGAGGTCCCCCCAGAGCTGCCCTAAATCCCAAACTTCTCCCAACCGCAGAGGGGTCACCCCACCAGCTCTGGGGGCTCCTCTCCCACTCCCCCCCCTCTCCCACATGGGGTGGGGGGTCCCTGAGCTCCCAACCCTCCCTGCCCGGCTCCGTTTTGCCTCCAGACCTGGAATTTGAAGGCAAAAAAGGGAGGGATTCTCCCCTTTTCTCCCCAGGTGTCCGGCAGGGAGCGTTCCTGGAGCATCCCGGTTTTACTTCCACGGGGGAAACTCGCACTTGTTTGCCACAGGCTTTTGCTTTTCCTTCTCTTTTCCTGGTTGTGTGTAAGCAATATGTTTTCAGGTTGAAACAGGGGTGGGGGTGGGGGAAAAAAAAAAAAGGGGGATTTAAAACAACCTAAAAAAAAAAAATAAAAATAACCCGGGTAGAGCTCCAAAATCGAGTTTTACTGTACAAAGTTCTGTGCTCTCAGCCCTGACTGCACAGTAGCTTTAGAGTCCACTTTGTTTTTTCCTAATATTTTTATTCTAATTTAATTGCTTTTAAACTTTCCAGGCCAAGCAACTGTTTGGAAACACCGTGCTTGTGTTAGTGCTTTCTGTTGGAGTTGGCCAGCTCTTCCTGTACATATGTTTTGGGTTTTGTTGTTTTTTGTTTTTTTTTTTTCCCTTCTATACTGTTTGTTGTTTTTTTTTTTTCCTGGTTTTATTTTTTTCCCCCCTTTGTTTTGTAAAGAGAAGAGAAAAAAAAAAAAAAAAAGGACAAAAAAACCATAAAAACGAAACGAAAAAAAAAAGAAAAAAAAGAAAATTATTTTTCTTTCCCTCAGTACACATTCTTCAAAAGTTCAAATTATAGTGTTTGTTAAATAAAATGAAAGATTTACATTTAATTCCGTGTCGGCTTGTTGGGATTTCTGACCTCGGGATCTCCAGGAGTTCCCTGGGAATCCCCGGGATCTCACCAGGGGCTCCAGAGGCTCCCCAGGATTTGCCTGGGGATCCCCAGGAGCTCCCCCAGGTTTTCCAGGATCTTCCTGAGCTCCTCAGGATTTCCCCAGGAGTCCTCAAGATCTTGCCTGGGGTCTCCAGGAACTCCAGGGGGGTCCTCGGGGGCTCCCTGGAGATCCACAGGATCCTCAAATCTTCTCCCAGGGTTTCCAAAGGATCTTGCTCTGAGTCCCTGGGATCTTGCCTGGGCTCTCCAAGAACTCCCTGGGGTCTCACTGGGATCTCCAGGATCTCCCTGAGGTCCCCAAGATCTCACCAGGGTGCCCAGGAATTCGTTGGGGTTCCCCAGAATCTTCTCTCGGGGTCTCCAGGATCTCCAGAGGGTTCCCTGGAGCTTCCTCCAGGTACCCAGGATCACCCTGAGCTCACCCCAAAAATGAGCC